AAAACTCTTATATGGGTTATCCTAAACAGGAACCCTTATATGGGATATCCTAAAAAGGAGCCCTTTAGATGTGAGATGAGGGAGTGTAGACTGTTTGTCGCCCCTTTGTTACTTCAATTAGGAACCCAAAAAGGACATAAGTATAAGCATTTTATAGGGATATCCCTACCTTATTGGGCTTCATTATAAAGGGGCCCTATCCTAATTTTTGCTTATGTGCTTTTTTGGGGTCCTATTCAAAGTTGAGGCCCGCGACCCCGTGCTCCGCGGCGGAAGGGTCGATCCGTTTGCCCAGTGAGGCTGGGAGCACTCACCTCGGGGGATCCGCCCCTGGGTTCTTGTTAGGGTTTAGGGTTTAGGGTTTAGGGTTTAGGGTTTAGGGTTTAGGGTTTAGGGTTTAGTGTTTAGGGTTTAGGGTTTATGGAATGATCTTGAAGTCATTTAGGTCACCATAATAGGGATCTGCAGCTAAAAATATACCATAAGGGATCTACAGCTAAAAATATGCCATAAGGGATCTACAGTTAAAATATGGTTTCCTTATTTTTGTAAAATTTAGTTAAATGAACCCAGGCTCATACCCCCACGGCCATTCAAAGCGGCCGCTTGCATGAGCCGGGCTCTGCGAATGACATGTTTGCGGTGAAGGAGGCACCCCCAAAGAACATGTACCCTCCTCGCTTGAAGATGCTCGTCGATGGTTCTTCGGGTGGTTGCTACGGCATTGAATGGGTGCTTGCTCCAAGTGGACGTCTCGTCCACAACAGTGCCTAGGTTCCCCAGTAGTACCCTTTTGCACTTTTTTCGTGTTGGGTTCCCTTATTAAAACCAAATAGTGGGAAAAAAGGGTGCCCTAAACCCTAAACCCTAAACCCCAAACCCCAAACCCTAAACCCTAAACCCTAAACCCTAAACCCTAAACCCTAAACCCTAAACCCTTATTATTAAGGGGCTACTGGGGAACCTAGGTGCCTATGAACCGCAGTGGCGCTTGGATGCCCCGGGCTCGAAGGGGGCCTTCGCCGCGCGCTCCGTCACCTACACCTTCATGCCTGGCTCCTTGTGGGCTATTTTTTTTACATTTTTGTTATACTAAAACCCAGTAAGGAATTAAAAGTTGGCTATAATTTTACATTTTTGTTACAATAAAAACCCAGTAAGGAATCAAGAATGCTCATTTTTACATAGCCCCAACAGGGAACCAACTGCCAGGTCAAACGAATTACATTTTTGTTATAATAAAACCCAATAGAGAATTAAAAATGATCATGTTTAATATAGCCCCTAAACCCTAAACCCTAAAACCCTAAAGCCCAATAAGGAATTGAGAAAGGATCATTTCTCACATAGCCCCAAGAGAGAACCAACCAGCTGATAGGTCAGGGTGCCGTCGGCGAAGCTTTCTCAAGGAAGGAGCTCCTTTTCTTGCAAGAAGTCCCTCCGTTTGCAAAAGAGGAGATGTTTTTAAACTTTTTGGCCTTATTGATTAGGTCTATCCTAAAAAGTTTGAACTTTTTTGGGCTTACCGATTATATAGGTCTATCCGAAAAAGTTCTAACTTTTTTGGGCCTGGTTGTTGAAGCAGAGAGGTCCAGCGCCTGAATCGGCATTTGTCTACGCCCTTCCAGCGGGCAGACTTGGCCAAGGAGTACGGCATCAACTCGATCCTCTTCGTTCCCACTTCCGACGGGGTCTTGGAGACTTGGCCCTAAACCCTAAACCCTAAACCCTAAAACCTAAACCCTAAACCCTAGACCCTAAACCCTTAAACCCTAAACCCTAAACCCTAAACCCCAAACCATGAGCCCGAGGACTCCAAATCGCCCGAAGTAGGTACCGTTTTTTTTTTAGATCCGCAAAGTAGGTGCTGTTTCTGTACTTGAAGTCTGGGTTTAGGGTTTAGGGTTTCGGGTTTCGGGTTTAGGGTTTAGGGTTTAGGGTTACTTGAAGTCTGGGGGCACCCCTACACTATCTTGGCAATCTCCCCCCAAAAAATTCCAGTTACTCTCCCAAATCCAAGCATAAACCTACAATCCTAAGTTCAAGTACCTAGGTATCAAGTCCAATGAACCCTAAAACCCTCCTTCAACGCCAAAGAGCCCTACACATCCCGTATAGATGCCATATAGGAGCCCCCAAACCCTACTTGTTGGGTCCTTTGGGTCCCAGAAGGTTCAACTTAGTTTAGCTGTTAGGGTTTAGGGTTCAGGGTTTAGGGTTTAGGGTTTAGGGTTCAGGGTTTAGGGTTTAGGGTTTAGGGTTCAGGGTTCAGGGTTTAGGGTTTAGGGTTTAGGGTTTTAAGTCCTGCTTAGGAGATCGGGTCGACCAAAAAATTCGCAAACAGCGACGAGTTCCTCCCTCCGGATCTTCTGATGGATTCTCCCTGACCTGAGCACAGAGTCGTGCGCAATCCAGAGACTCTAAGATCCCTCAATTAAGGAATATACCTTAAGTTATAGTAGGACTAGTAGGATCCCTAATATGATTTGAGGTATATTCCTTAATTAAGGGATATTGGAGTCTCTGAGAAGCAAGGGTACTACAAAGGTACCACGAGGCGATATGGGAACTACTAGTACAAGGCTGCTAGAAGGGTCCTTCCTTGCAAGTCAGGGCACTGTCAGGGCTCGATAAGGCTACCATACGGGCACGGATACTGTAGGGGTACTAGAAGTAGGGCTAATATAGGAGCCTTAATATTTAGAACAGGGTTTCGGGGTACTTTATATTATACCGCAAAAATAAGGAACCTTCAGAATAGTATTGGTGGGTATTTAGGCCTATATTATCGGGTCGGGGGGGGGTTCTCTACGATCTGAGCCCTAAACCCTAAACCCTAAACCCTAAAAGAGCACTGGAGAGCCCTGGCGTGCAGAAAGGGCCAGCCCGATTCCATTGATTGCAGCATCCCAGGAGCTCCAATGGTACGAGCAATGCTCAGGGGTACTTAGAAATATTTTTAATCTTTGGCTACTATAAACCCTAAGAGGCAGCTAAAATTATAATTTTCGCTAGGGGTCTAAGTTCAGTATAGAATGGGGTTTGGGGCTTATAGGGTTTAGGGCTTAGGGCTTAGAGGGTTTAGGGTTTACGGCTTAGGGCTTAGAGGCTTTAGGGTTTACGGTTTAGGGCTTATAGGGTTTAGGGTTTAGGGCTTTGGGCTTAGAGGGTTTAGGGTTTACGGTTCAGGGCTTATAGGGTTGAGGGCATAGGGCTTGGAGGGTTTAGGGTTTACTGTTTAGGGCTTAGAGGCTTTAGGGTTTACGGCTTAGGGCTTATAGGGTTTAGGGTTTAGGGCTTAGGGCTTAGAGGGTTTAGGGTTTACGGTTTAGGGCTTATAGGGTTTGGGGGTTTGGTACCGTGTTTGAAGTTTGGTGTTTGACGTCTCAGTCTGTGTACGGGACGTACTTTCCGGCCGACCTCGAGCTCCAGGGTTTGTGATTGCTGTTTTTGCATGTTTGCAGGCCTCAGCTGATGGAAGCTACAGAAAAATGTGATGCGTAATTGCAGGGTTTACCGTTCAGGCCCCAAAAGGGCTTAGGGGGTTTATGTTATAGCTTCGGAAGGCAGCAGGAGGCCAGCGCAAGGTGCTGAAGCGCGTGCAGTTGATCTCAGGGACTCTACTTACCCATAGGCCCCATAGTATAGTTCTTTTTTGGGATTACCTTATAGGATTCTAAGAATATGAACCCCAAAAAAGGAACTACTATGGGGCCTATGGGTAGCCAGATCAAGACGGCCCTTCCCGAAGCCGTCGGCCGCAATGTTCAAATGTCACACGCACAGTTGGACAGCGGCCAACCTCGAAAACTGTTCCACGAGGTCTTGGCTGGAGGCCGGATCCGGGAGATTCAGATTTCGCTGATTTGCTGGTTCTTGGGAGGCGTGCGCGGGAGAAAACTGGAGCTCGTGTCATGTTGGTACGTGCACGCCTTGCACCTGCATTGCAACTGCAGGTCGGGTTTTGCTGTATAGAAGCCTCTTAGCCACAATAAAGCCTAGAAGCAGAAAGCGTTCAGAGCACCCTTGTAATAGCCCTTATAGTACGTTATGCTGAATCTGGACTCAGCTTTGGAGGATGGAGCATCCCTTTCCCAGTGCCTTGACGATGACCCTCGTAATCATCATATTACGATAAGAATAGCAATGGTAATAACAATCTAGTCATGACCACAGCAATACTAGAAGACAAGAGCAATTGATTACAACGGTGATAATGCTAATTTACAAGGGTTTGCCGTACTGAGGGGGCTGGATCTGCAATACAGGAACATCTGGGTAGTTCTTCAAATAGGGTGCCTTTTAGGGTCCTTTTTATACGGGTGCCGTACTATGCTTCGGGACCTAATAGAAGGGACCCGAATTTAAAGAATCACCCATAGGACGACCCGCAGGGCCGGCAGGCTCCAATATCAGTCCTTCCCGCCAGTTAACCTCTGCCAAAGAGGGTCCATATATACATATATATATATATATATGTATATGTATGTGTGTATATATATATATATATATATTATACATATATATTATACATATATATATAT